TTAAACAAATTTTTGCAGTATTTTGCTAATTTTCATTCCTCGAGGGAAAATTTAAATGGCGATGAATTCTTTTGGTTTTTATTGAGGGCATAGTGATGTTTCATATTATTCTGCAAAAAGAATTAATTAATATTTATAATAATAATATTAATATTTAATATTAATAAACATCAGATTTAATTAATTATTATAATAGATAATAATTATTCCCCTTAGGTGAATTTGTTATAATTTGTACAGTGGTTCAATAAAGGAAAGTGCCATCTGTGGATTATTTGATGCGCTGCATGCTCTACGGATATCATCGGGTCAATTTTACTTTATATTTGCCATAAATCTGACAAAATTAATCTATGTGAACAGAAATGGTCTGTAAACGTGAGGAATAGGGACAGCCATAAGCCAAATTGTTAAAGCTAAATGGTTTGATTAAGACTATCGTGGGCAGTCTTTTTGGCTTTTAAAGAACTGAATTTTTATTTTTTAAAATATTTTAAATTAATTTTAATTAATTGCATTAATTTCCACTTTATTAATAGATTAAGCAAATCCGAAAAGATAAATATTAAATATTACTAAATAATTGTTAAATTATTATTAAATTATTATAATTTTATTTACAAATTATTATTAAATTATTATGTATATTAGCTATTATTGCGATTTCGATGCTATTTATGTTTTTTATTGTTATTTCATTATCCTTTCTATTATCTTTTCAGCTTTATTATAATAGTTATTATTAACGATTATTATCAATTTATTATCATTATTAATAATCAAAGGCAAACCAGATTAGTTGTACCATAGGATTTCAATGGAGAAAAGGAGAAATGGACTTTTCACAATGCTGATGCAACCTTACACATTATCAGCTATTATCAGCTATTTGGATAGATATTTTATTAAAGTCGCGAAATCACCATTAAAATGGAAGCCGACTACAGTAGTAGTGGAGAAAACAGTTATCTATCTTTAAATTTTCTGGCAGAATCTCACAGCATTTCATTCATCTTCACTCATCTTACCTTAATAATATCATCATGAAGCAAGGCTGAAAGCTTAGTCAAAACTTCTTGTTTAATTTGATCGAGCAATCGCCGTTCAATGCTCCACTTGTCTTCAGGGCCAAGTCTTTCTTGAAGCGCGTAACTTTATGGACTCAGTCCGTTAATTCTCAAAACATGTCGATTTAATTGCTAAATACAGCTAGAGAATGGTTGAATACGAAAATAAAATATAGAAAGCAAAAATCGGCTTAAAATTTCAACTTAAATTTTTTTATCCCTTTTAACTTATCAGCAAAAAATCGAGAGATATAAATGAGGCCGTTAATCAATGAAATAATCAATGAAAGAATGGAAAGATTTGTTCTCTTTATGGTTCCAAAAAAGCTAAAAATGCTATAAATTGTAATGAATTTATTAAAACTATAGGTACGAATTATTGATAAGTCGTGCAATTTTCACGTAATCACGAAGAGTTACCTAAGGAAAGTAAGAAAAAATACTGCTTTTTTTGATAATTATGATAAAATGATAAAATGATAAAATATGAATTGAGAGATTTTTTACCAGAAATCTACAAACCTATGGAAAAAATCATTTAAAATTCCACAGCAATCGCGTAGAGTTACCTAAGGAAAGTAAGAAAAAATACCGCTTTCTTTGATAAATATGAAAAAATGATAAAATATGACTTGATTGAGAGATTTTTTACCAGAAATCTACAAACCTATGGAAAAAATCATTTAAAATTCCACAATAAAATAGAATCGACAAAGTCGATTTCAAACAGCAAAATATTAAAAAATCGACCAAAAATGCTATTGAAAATCTAACAAATCTAACAAAATTTATATAAATGCACTTTTAAATATTTTAGCACCTTTTCCTTCATTGATTAGTTTATAAATTAAAAAATTAAAAACCTTAAAATCAAAATTCCGAAGAAATTTTTTGTACCGATTTTACATGTTTTATAAGGCAAAGCTGAGTTAATTGATTACGATTGATAAAATTTTTTTTTTGGTTCTTAAATTCTTTCAGTTTTTTTTATAAATTATTAAATATAGATATTTGAATCAATGAGAGTTGTGCAAAAAAGAGATATAATTTGGAATAATGAGGCTATAAATCAATAAAAGAATATAAAGATTTGTTGAAATTACAGTCTTCTAAAAATTTAAATGTCATAAAATACCAAAATGAATGTGTTCATATGGTTTTAAATGATCCCACAGTTAATAACTTTTAAAACGAGAACTATATCCGCCGAAAATGATTATTTTCCCATCTGCTTATGGCTGATAACCTCAGAAAGCAATTATGAGTTATGTTTATGTTATTAATTATGTTTTTTTATGAGTTATTAGATGATAAATTAAATAACTAAACTAAATTTGAACAGGGAAATTAAGATTTCGCATTAATCAGCAATTGTTCTCATTTATTTTAGTTTAAAAATCCTTAAACTACGTTNCGTGGCAGTGGTTGCAAGCATCTGAAACAAGGTTCCAACACTCTTCATAACGTGAATATCAGTACAACCGCGCCTTGTTCTGAATTTAGCTTGATTAGGGCGTATGATGTCGCGTAAATTGCTTCTCTTCTAAAAATATTTATACAATATAATAAAATTATAATTATTTTATAATAATTATATTTTAATTGTTTAATGCAGAAATAAATATAATATAAATATAAATATAAAAAAAAATCAATGAAAATAATGATAAATAATTAAAAGGAGTGGAATTAATGAATTGCAGCAAGTTTTTGCAGAATAAAATTAAAAACAATGTCAACGATTTGTTTAAATTGTAATTAATTTAAAATGAATAAAACGCAAATTCGCGAATATTTAACGAAGATAATTCACGATTATTCAAATTATTTTAAGAAGTTTTTTAGTCGAAAAAATTCTAAAAAAATTTTCATTTTAAACAAAAGTAAAATTTAAATAAATTTTTATAAATTTTTAAATTTTAATTTAATTTTAATTTAATTTTTTAAATAAATTTTTTAAAAAAAAAATTATAGAACGCTGAATAAATTTGATAATTTATTTGATAATTTATCTCCACTATGATTTTCATTGTTCATTTGATAAAAAAATTGTTATGAAGTTATTGGAAATTTTGAAATTTGTCTAAATTTTTTATTTTAAATTCTCTCAAAATCGACACGTCAATTTAGTGAGTTTAGCGAGTTTCGAAATTTCTTTATAAATCAATGCGTTATTTTACATACCATTTGAGTATCTTTCGGAATCCACAGGGTTAGAACAATTTCAATTCTCAAGATACTTGAAAAAAATTTCTCGAACGTCTAACCTCGTAGTTTGCCTTAGAAGATAGTTTCATGGAAAAGTCCACGATGAGTATGCATTTGAAGAGAGCTTTTGATAGGTCTCATAAAAGCTTACCAATATAGATCATGGAATTTAATTTTTCTTTAGTTGGAAGTCTGCTTACAAGCTTTTTTTTTTAAGAACTCTCACCATTACTTGTTAAACTTCACTCCACTGGGTTTGCCGCACTATGCCATAGAGCCCCTCAGCGATAGGAAATATAGGAGAGTCGTTAGTATCACTCGGATTTTTGCACACGTTTACTCCTGCGGGCAATCGGACTTCAGCATCGGCGCATCCAATTGAGCAACAATCCACTGAGGAGTTCTAGCTTTAATGTGATGATGTAAATAATATAAGCTAAGAAATATAAATTCTGTTTTGCTTATCATTTATCATTTATTACTTTAGAGAGGTCGATATTTGAATGCTTTCAGTGGAGAGTAAACCTGGCGCATGGCTTCTCAACTGTTTTTCATCATCAAATGATCCAGTGCAAAAAATTTTGAAATCCATATTTGTTAGCAGCGGAGTCAGCTAACCAGAATTAAGCATTAACCTCAAGCATTCGTTTAGCTTAATATAAATAACGCATTTTCATGGATGTTGATGGAAATACGCCCATCAATATTGATATCAATAATAATATGCTCATATAAATAAAATTAACAACGATCTTTTTATATTTTTTAACTAATATTTATCATTTTTGCGTGATAATTGATTTTATCACACCTGGTACTATTAAGTATAAATACAAACAATTTAATTTTCAATTTATTTTTTATAAAATATAAAGCAAAAACTTGAAGAATATAAGTTACATTTAAAATATTTATTATTTTAAATCAGACCGTATTGTTTCGAGAATATTTAAATTATAATTGAATCTTATTAAGGAGAAGGCGAAGTCACCACTGGGCTCCAATAGGAGTAACCTTGTCTTTGAAAAATCCAGATGATGCCAACCGTCTATATTTCTAACTTCTCGGAATTAAATTAGTGCGGCAAGCCTAACCAAAAAAAAATATGATCAATTTTTAAAATATGATCAATTAGTAAAAATTTTTTTTTTTATTAAGCAATATTTGAATAATTATTTATCGTAAAATCAATGTTTATCTTACAATAAAGCATTATTATTAGTACAATGCTTTACAACAATTGATAACTTCTTGAAAGAATTTCTCAAATTATTCACCTATAAAAATTAAAAGATAAATCTGAATTTTTTGCAATATCGTTCTCTCTTCGACCGATTGAAATGAGTTGCCAAATCCAATAGAAATGATAACTTTTCCATTTGCCAAACACTATTTCATAGAGAATTTTAGGACAATTTTGAGTTGTAGCAAAACCATTTTGGATTCCATGATTCATTGTAAGATATTTCAAAGACTGGAATAATTAAAATAGCTAATAATTATTATCTTCGCTTTTGTATTTGAAAATTATTATTTTAATATTTTGAGAAAAAAAAAGCAAATATTTTTCTTTCAACAAATAATTGCTGTAAAACGAAAATTTTCCAGAAAGCTGGTTAAACTTCAATTTTAACATTATTTTCAAAAAAAAACCTTTGTTGGCAATCTGAGAGTAAATTATAGTTCACATAAAAAAGGTGAATTAAATAATTTTTCATCATTGTTATGGCAAATATTCTCTTGGCATCACTCATCCTCCTTCTTTCTATCGAGTTTAGCTATAGTGGCGATGAAACTATTAAAGAATGCGCGACAACAGGTCAAACACCTCGTCCCACAATTCCACCGGAATATTGCCAAGACGTAAATACCAATGAGTGCACTGCATTGTTTCCGCTGGACGGACAAAAAATTCTAGACAACCTCAACGTGTAAGTTTTATTGTTAGCTTCTTCCTTTTTTTTAACGCTCGCTCAAGCTTAAACATAAAGGGAAATAAATGTGGACGAATACTTTTCAGAGGAAATGCTTATAAAGTAAATAAAGAATGTGTGGACAATGCATCCCTTGCAACGATTAGTGTGGAGCGATGTCCAAAAACATGCGCGAAATGTTGCTTAACGAAACAATTCAAATGCAATAATGGTTATTTAACGAAATTTTCGCTCGGAAAAAAAGCAAAAAAAATGAAGTTATTTTAAAAAATAAGCATATTTTAATAAATATTAGCATATTTTTTATAAAATTATGAATAAATGAAAATACAAAAAAATCCAAGTTTTAATGGAAGGGTACAGCAATGGCGATGGAATGCCGATAGAGTATTAAGGATCGCAAATTTAAGAAAATAAATAGCCGAGTGAACTGATATACTCTCATTTGGCTTAAGCTGGTTAAACTTCAATTTTAACATTATTTTCATAATATGATAAAATTTAGGGACATATTAACAACATACTCAAAATTGGGCCTCCATAATAGCTTCAGATTTGTGGTGGTAGGCAAATGGCCAATAATTATGGAAATGTAACATTTCCATTAATTCCAATTTCTTATCGATAAATAGCCTTTTCATATCATTTATAAAACAATAGAAGTAAGGCAAATGATGTAAATTCTGCATAATGTTTCATGGCTTAAAATTTCTACGAAAGAATTTATGAAAAAAATCACGCAAAAAAATTCATATTCAGATTATGGTGCAGATGAGGTTTGCGCTCGATTAAACTTCGCTATTGAATGCAAGAATCCACTTTTATACCCAATAGTGCTTGCACGATGTCCAAAAACGTGCGGTCTATGTGACAGACCAGGCGCTCTCGGCAGGTGCCCAGATAGCCATCCCATTTGCCCTCAACTGAGATTATTTGGAAATGCATGTCAGGACAGTAGAATTGCACAAATGTGCATGGAAAGCTGTAATATAACAACTTGTTTGACAGGTGATCGTTCTTCAGCCAATATTTGCAAAATTTTATGCGATTCCATTAGTTAATTATAAAACGATTGCAGGTACAACTACTGCAAGTGCATCGCTATGCCAGGACAGAAGAACTAACTGCGTTAGCTATGCACCTTATTGTAATCACCAAAGATATTCAAATGTGCTGAGAGATGTGTGTCCTCGTACATGTAGAGTCTGTTAATAGACTTTGGGCTAAAGCACGAGGTACCATCCGCATATCTGACCATTTTTCTCATTTCAAATAACCTTTTATTCCTCTGGGGCAATTTCGTTCTATTTTTCATATCTTTCTCGTAAATAACTGAATATTTTCTTTCATTTTCGGGTTATAAATTGTTTACATCTTTTTTTGCAAAAAAATACTAACATTAATCAAGTAAAATAAGAAAATTACATAATACATTACAAAATACATTCTTTGGGAAAAGGGAATAGCCGAGTTAATCGAGTAAAATTCTTTAAGTTTGGTTTAAAAGTAAATTGTAGTTTTATTTTTCATCACGAAATTCTTTATTATTTTATTATGAAAAAAGTAGTATAAACAAAATAATAAAACAATTACTTTCTCAATGAATTTTTGAAAAAAATGAATTTAATGAAACTACAAAATTCGAAAGCAAAATAAGAGATCATTTAAATTTCGAAACTGATTTTTCTCTTCGCATTAATCAAAATTTTATTTTTTCTCTTTATTTTAAATAATGAAAACTATAATTATGAAAAGGAATTAAAAGGAATGGAATTAGCAAACTGCAGTGAATTTTTGCAAAATAAAATTAATGTCGACGATTTGTTTAAATTAATTTTTAATTAATTTAAAATGAATAAAATGAATGAATAAAATTCGCGAATATTTAAGGAAGATTTGTTCAAATTAATTTACGAAAAGGCTTTCTTTCTAATCGAAAAATTTCCATTTTACATAAAAATGATTTATGTAAAAATATAGAAATGAAAAAGAAATTATAAAACGCTGAATAAATTCGATGATTTTTTTCTACTATTTGCTTAGTTCAATAACGATTTTTTTGACCAAATTTTTGAATTTTTTTTATTTTTTTAAATTCATTATAAATTTTCAACGCATCAATTTAGTGAGAATTGATTTTAGAAATTTCCTCACAAATTTTTTCTCTATTTTAGGCATTATTTGAGTATTTTTTGGAACTCACAGGATTACAATTTTTTGAATCATCGAGACACTCGCAGGTTACTTTATCTTAAAAGATAATTGCACGGGAAAATATGCGATGAGACGAAAGTATGAAAGCTGTGTGCATGCAAAGAGAGATTTTGATAGGTCGCAAATAGGTCTTATTGATAGGAGATGGGAATATTAATTTTTCATCGACTTGAAAATCTGCTTGCAGTTATATATTTCATTTCATTTGAAAAATTTGCATGTCGAGAAAATTATTATTTTAATTGAGAAAAGAAAAATAAATTTTTATCTGCCACGAAATGGTTGCTGTAAAGCGGAAATTTCCCAGAAAGCTGGTTAAACCTCAACAATTTTAAAAAAAAAGCCATTTTTGACAATCCGAGAGTAAATTACAGTTCACCTAAAAAAGGTGAATTAATAATTGTTCATCATTGTCATGGCAAACGTACTCTTCATTGATCGTTCTCCATTTCATCAAGTTTAGCTACGGTGAGAATGCGAATATTAAAGAATGCGCGACAGCAGGTCAAACACCTCGTCCCACAATTCCACCGGAATATTGCCAAGACACAGATCCCAATGCGTGCGCTGCTTTGTTCCCCTTGGATGGAGCTCAGGCAGCAATGAATCTCCAAGTGTAAGTGTTATAACTAATATTGTTTTATAATTTCTCGCTTCTCGCTTTGACTAAGTATATAAAGAAATAAAATAAAATCCTTTTCTTCTAGTTATGCTAGCTTCTTAATATCCTCCTTTTTCACTGGTTAATTCTCGCAGCTATATTGCAAGATCGAGCGAACTGCGAATATATAAACGCCGATCTTCCACAAAGGTGATTCCACAAAGATTTCGGGAGAGCGCATTTCTAGCTACCATTGTCCGAGTTGTAATTTTGTCTGGCCATTCTGTATTCGGGCTTTTCTCCAGTCCACAGTGGGTTTTGGGCCTTTTATCAGCTCCTTGTACATAAGACGAATAGACTTTTATTTTATTTATTATATTTTGATCCTGTACCCAGTTCTCTGCATTGTTTAGCATTATTTGCATTTCATTATAACTGTCAGCAAAAAGGGTTGCATAATTAGCTTATTCAAGATCTATGATACTATGCCGTGGACTGATTTGCAAAATTTGCAAATCTTTTGAATGCTGACGAGCATTATTCAGTCCATCTTATAGTTTGAATATTTCTAAGGGAAACGATTATCCTTGAAGGGCGCAATTCTTACTTGGAAAGGGTTTGCCATTCCCCACACATATACATTCCTTTTATATGCCAAGAAAATGCCTTTATTAATCGAATGATCCTCTCTGGAACACTGTTATATTCTATCAGTATCCAGAAGACTGCTGTATCAAAGATAACTGCAAAACTGAAGAACAACTAAAGCGATGTTCCAGTGCGAATATATGATTAACATAACCGCTTCCGCGTTTGAATCGAGCTCATCCTGGAGATATCTAGGAGGCTGATTCCTCGATAATTAAAAGTCCTGACACAAGTCACATATTTAATGCCGTACCACATTTATTGAGGTGGATTATGAAGGACGATGGATAAAAGTTCAGCCTGGAGATCGGGAATTTTATGGGCCTTACTATTATAGATAATAAAATTTGTTAAAAATTGTTCCCTTTTCTATTGTTTCCCGTTTCACTGATCTGGAGCTATGAAATAGTTTCCTATTATCACCTAATCGAACCGCTGTCTTCATTCTTAGAACCATATTATGAATTAGCAATATAGACAAATGAATGCATTCCAGGCAAAATCCTTATATGGTAAATAAACAATGCGTGGATAATGCATCTCTTGCAACAATTTCAGTCCAGCAATGCCCAAGGACATGCGCGAAATGTTGCTCAACAAAACAATTCAAATGTGAAAACGGTTACTTAACGGAATTTCCGCTTAAAAAATGCCAAAAAATTATTTTGAAAAATAAATAAAAAAATATTTATCATTAATTGAATAATATTTGCATATCATAAAAAATATTAGTTTATTTTAATAAAATTGAATTAAATGTATAAAAGTTAAAAGGAATTCATGGCTTAAATGAAAGGAAGGACCATATTTTCGAGGAAATATAAATAAATTGTCGAATGAGAATTGTTTTTTATCATCGTTTGCAAAATCCAATGATTTGGTCGGAAAATAATTAAATATTATGAAAATAAACCATGGTTAATCGTTATAAATCAATAGAAATCATTCGCCTTACGATTGATACCAAGTTCAACATAATATTTTACATGCACGATTCGATATTTTTATTATCAAAGAATTTATGAGAAAATTACGCAAAAAAATCAAATTCAGATTTTGGTGTTGGAGAAGCTTGCGCCCGATTGAACTTCGCTATTGAATGCAAAAATCCACTTTTATACCCAATAGTGCTCGCGAGGTGTCCAAAAACGTGCGGTCTATGTTATAGACCGGGAGCTCTCGGCAGGTGCCCAGATAGTCATCCCATTTTCCCTCAATTGAGATTATTTGGAAATGCATGTCAGGACAGTAGAATTGCACAAATGTGCATGGAAAGCTGTAATATAACAACGTGCTTGCCAGGTGACAAAATAAATCGTTCAGTATTTGTAAAACGTTCATTCCATTCCATTCCATTAATTAATAAAGGAAGCGATTGCAGGTACAACTACTGGTGTTGCGCCATCACCGCTATGCCTGGACAGAAGAACTAATTGCGTTAGCTATGCACCTTATTGCAAACACCCGAGATATTCAAGTGTGCTGAGAGATGTGTGTCCTCGTACTTGTAGGGTCTGTTTATAGACTTTGTGGTAAAGCACGAGGTACCATCCGTATATCTGATCATTTTTCTCATTTCAATTAACCTCATTGTATCCTTTGGAGCAATATCATTTTATGTTTCCTATTTTTCTCGTAAAAAACTGAATAATTTTCTTTATTTTTGGATAAATAAATGGTTCGCACCTTTTTTGGTATAAAAATATTAACATTCATCAAGTAAAACAGGAAAATTGCGTAATATACATTTTGGGAAAGGGGAATAACCGAGTAAATCGAGTAAATTTTAATTTCATATTTCTTCGTAAAATTCCTTATTGTACGAAAGCAATAAAAGAAATTACTAATAATTTTCGCCAATCTTTCAACCTCAATGTTAATTTACACTTAGGAATTGATTTTTCGCTTCTTAACTGATTGATCAAAATTCAATGGAATGGGGATAGAATAGCTCAGTGGGTTGTTGCTCAATTGGTAGCGCCAATTCTGAGGTTCGATTCCCGAAGGGGTGAACCTGTACAAAAATCCGGGTGATGCTGGCGACTCTTCTGTATTTCTATCGCCAAAGGACTTCCTGGCATATTGCTCAATTGCAACAAACCAGTGGAGCGAGTTTAACCAGTAATGGTGAGAACTCAGGAAAAAAAAAATTAAATGGAATGGGAAACAGCATGGAGTTTTTGCAGAATAAAATAATATCAATAACGATTTGTTTAAATTTTAATTAATTAATTTTTTAAAAATTTTTATTAAAAAATTTGAATGAATATAACGAAAATTCGCAAATATTTGGCAAAGATTTGTTTAAATTAATTTATGAAAAATTTTCTAATCGGAAAATTTTCATTTTATAAAAAATTGATTTATGTAAAATTATAGAAATTAAAAAGAAATTATGGAACACTGAATAAATTCGTTGATGTTTTTTCCACTATTTTCTTAGTTCAATTCATAACCATTTTTTAGATAAAATTTTTAAATTTTTGTTATTTTTTTGACTTTCTTAAATTTTTTTTACGTGATAAATTTTCAACGCGTCAATTTAATGAGATTTGAATTTAGAAATTTTTCACAAATTATTTCTGTATTTTAGGTATCTTTTGAGGAATTTCTTGGAACTTTAGATAGAGTTATGTAGAGTTACAACATCATCAAGACACTCGAAAGTTAGTTAATCTTAAGAGATACTTGCATGGGAAAGTATGCGATGGCATGAATACGGCATGCATGCTAAGAGGGCCTTTGGCCTTTGATAGGCCTCATGGTTTCATGAATTTTTAATAAAAATGAAAAATTTTTCATTGAGCTAAAAGACTGTTTGCATATATCTTTGATTTATTTTGAAAATTTGAAAATCTACTTATGTCGACTGAAAATGATTTCACAAAAAAATAATTAAAATATTCTACGAAATGTTGAAAGGATTTCTCAAATTCATTTGTAAAAATGAAGAGGAAATCTACTTTTTTGCAAATTTGTGCTTTCTCTTTGTATATTTTATTAGTCAAAACGAGTAGGCAAATCCAATAATATAATAATTGTAACATTTTGTGAATAGTGATTTGCAGTCTATAAAATGATAAATGATAACTTAAATTTTGCTTAAATCAATATTTGTTAGTTTTAGATTTGAAAGCTATTATTTTAATAAAAGATAAGCAAATTTATTTGCCATGAAAAGAATGCTGTAAACGGGAAAAATCACTTGAAAATCACTAGAAAGCTTGATAAACCTCATTTTTTTAATTGATTTTCAAAAAAGCCTTTGTTGGCACTACAAGAATGAATCAAAATTCATGGCATATAAAAAGCTTTGATGCGCTATTGTTCGTTAGTCAAATTTATTTCATTTGATTTGAGAAATTTGCAAATCTGTTTATGTCGACTAACTGAAAACCGATCGTAGAAAAACATTGGAGATCTTATCGGAAATCATCGTGAAAGAATTTCTCAAATTCACCTATAAAATTGAAAAATAAATCTGCATTTTTCGCTAATTTGTTCTCCCTTCGAGCGATTAAAATGAGTTGGCAAATTAAATAAAAATAATAACTAATAATAATAACTAAATAATAAAATAATAATAATAAAATAATAATAACAAAATAATAATAAAATAATAACAATAAAATAATAATAATAAAATAATAATAAAATAATATTAATAAAATAATAATAATAAAATAATAATAATAAAATAATAATAATAATAACTTTCCCGTAATCACTATTTTGTAGAAAATTTTGAGCAGAAAAAATATTTTGGATTTTGTGATTTATTGAATGGTAATTGACTAAAATAATTAAATATTAATATGTAAAATATGTAAAATGAATTAGATTTCGCTTAAATAAATAATTATCATCTTTATGGAAAATTATTATTTTACAATAAAATTATTATTTAAATTTTTATTATTGTTATTTTGAGAAAAGAAAAAAAAAGGTTTTATTTGAAATGGTTGCAGTAAAGCAGAAATTTCCCAGAAAGCTGGTTAAACCTCAATTTTAAAATAAATAAATAAATAATGAATAAATAAATTACGAAAAAAGCCTTTGTTGGCAATCCGAGAGTAAATTACAGTTCACATAAAAAAGGTGAATTGAATGATTATTCACCATTGTCATGGCAAATGTATTCTTCGCCTCACTGATTATTCTCCATTTCATCAAGTTTAGCTACGGTGAAAGTGCGACAATTAAAGAATGCGCGACAGGTCAACCGCCTCGTCCGACAATTCCACCAGAACATTGCCAGGACGTAAATGCCAATGAGTGCGCTGCATTGTTTCCACCAGAAGGACAAAAAATCCTAGATAACGTCAACGTGTAAGATTTGCTGCTAGTTTCTTCCTTTCTTTTAACTCAAGCGTAAATATAAGGAGAAATGAATATGGACGAATGAATGCATTTCAGGCAAAATGCTTATGAAGTGAACAAACAATGTGTGGATAATGCAACCCTTGCAACGATTAGTGTGGAGCGATGTCCAAGTACATGCGCGAAATGTTGCTTGACGAAACAATTCAAATGCGATAATGGTTATTTATTGAAATTTTCGCGCAGAAAAAAACAAATAAATAAATATTAGTGGGTAGAATGGCTCAGTGGTTTTATTATTCAATTGTGGGAGCACCGATGCTGAAGTTTGGTTCCCTGCAAGACTAAACCTGTTCAAAAATCTGGATGATGCTGGCGACTCACCTGTATATCTATCGCCAAGGAACTTCCTGGCCTATTGTCCAATGTGACAAGCTAGTGGAGTGAGTTTAATCAGTATGAATCCTTGGGGACTCATTAAAAGCATATTTCTTATAAAATAATAAATGAAGGAAATTGAAGGGAAATCCATGTTTTCAATGAAATTAAAGTTCTGTAAATTTAAGAAAATGAACGAACTGTCTTTGGCACTCATCGCTTGTAAAATTCAAAAAGATTGCAGGCAAATGGCTAATAATTATGGAAATGCAATATTTCCATTAATTCTAATTTCCTACAGATAAATAGCCTCGTCATTATCATTTATAGATCGGCACAAGTAAGACGAATGATATTTGTTTCATGGATCAAAACTTTACAAAAGAATTTGCGAAAAAATTGCACAAAAAATACATATTTCAGATTTTGGCGCGAGAGATGCTTGCACTCGGTTGAACTTCGCTACTGAATGCAAGAATCCACTTTTATACCCAATAGTGCTTGCAAGATGTCCGAAAACGTGCGGTCTATGTGACAGACCAGGCGCTCTCGGCAGGTGCCCAGATAGTCATCCCATTTGCCCTCAATTGAGATTATTTGGAAATGCGTGTCAGGACAGTAGAATTGCACAAATGTGCATGGAAAGCTGTAATATAACAACATGCTTGCCAGGTGACAAAATAAATCGTTCAGTATTTGTAAAACGTTCATTCCATTCCATTCCACTAATTAATAAAACAAACGATTGCAGGTACAACTACTGCAAGTGCGCGATCATTGGTACTATGCCAGGATAGAAGAACTAACTGCGTTAGCTATGCACCTTATTGCAATCACCCAAGATATTCAAGTGTGCTGAGAGATGTGTGTCCTCGTACATGTAGAGTCTGTTAATAGACTTTGGGCTAAAGCATGAGGTACCATCCGCATATCTGATTACTTTTCTCTCTTCAAATAACCTTATATCATTACATCCCCTTGGGGCAATTTCTTTTTATTTTTCATATCTTTCTCGTAAATAACTGAATAATTTTCTTTATTTTTGGGTTAATAAATGGTTTGCACCTTTTTTTGTATAAAAATACTAAAACATTCATCAAGTAAAATAAGAAAATAAGAAAAAGCAAAATAAGAAAATTACATAATATACACTTTAGAAAAGAGGAACAGCCGAGTAAAAGTGATCTATTAAATTATTTCTTTTCGTAAAATTTCTCTTCTTTTTTATTTCATATACAAAAAAAAGAATTGCTAATAATTTTCACTAATTTTCAACTTCAGCGATCATTTACACTTCGAAACTGATTTTTCTCTTCGCAATGATCAAATATTGTCAGACATAAATAAATAATAAAATATAAAAAAGGTGAATTAAATTGGCTGTTCATCCTTGTCATGGCAAATATACTCTTCGCCTCAATCACCATTTTCCATCTCATCAAGTTCTACGATGATGATGTGAATATTAAAGAATACACGACACCTCTTCCTACAATTCTATGCGGTGCACAAGGAATGCGTCACTAATGCATTTACCGTAGGAACAAAAAAAAAATCACGATAATATTGATAATATTAAAAGAAATAATAATATCTGAGATTATGCAAAGATAATCAAAAAAATCACTAATCACCAATTATTCAGCACTAAATTTATTTACTTTTCCAGATAAATGAACGAACGCAATGAAATTTTCGATTTTGTCAAAGATCACTCACCATTGTTGGTTGGACTCACATTGCTGGCTTGTCGGGTTGGGCAAATATGCCAAAGACTTCCTTGGAAATAGAGATAGAAATTAGCCGCCAGCATGACTCAGGCCAATCCTAATTGAGCAACTTATTGAACCATGTTTCTCCCTTGGCCGCGCAATATTACTTGTTAAATAATAATTTAATTATCAATTAATAAATCACTCGATAATAAAAACATTAAATTAATTACACATACAAAAGGAGGAAATTGTGATTTTTTTTAAAAATCCTTTCAATACAACTAAATTATATAAATAAATTTTAACACAAAAAAAATTTAATAAATCAAACTATTAAAAAATTCTATTAAACTTAACGCCAATTATTAAATATTTTATATA